TCTAGATTACTTAGAAAAACAGTCTTTTATATATATATAAAAAAACTATACTATTACATACAAATAAAAACCCAGCGAAGCAAGATCTTGCAGCTAGTATATATAAAAAATGCACATGTGTGTCCCTATATTTCACTTTTCAGCCAAAACTACACATTGCACATGAATGGTGTTTGTATGTGGTAGTAGCCCCGAGTCTCCATTCGTGCACTATGGTGGTTGCGTCTCGATAGCTATAAGGGTGTGGGAGATATGGGGTTTAAAGTGGTTGACTTCAAAGAGTTTCTATTTCAATTTTATTTTAAAAATGTTCAAACCGTTTTAAATTTGAATTTGTTTGATTATAGAACGATTGTAAACGTTCCATAAAATTGATCAAATTGAAAATAGTTCGTTTGACTGGACGTGAACAGGAGACATTCTGTCTGGAAATGGGGGACCTAATTCTTGCATTCTGTGAAAACAGGTAAGATTGGCTATAATGTAATTATCTTAATCTTCACTATTGTTACTTTTTGCCCAGCGAAGCGTGTCCTTGCAGCTAGATTACAACTTAGAAAAACAGTCTTTTATATATAAAAAAAACTATATTACATACAAATGTACGAACAAATAAAAACCCAGCGAAGCGGGTCCTTGCAGCTAGTAATTATATAAAAACAAGCAAAAACCAAAAGTAATTTGGATCTTAAATTGCATTAAGCTTGCTTAAATTAAAAATAAGTCTTAAAAGTTTGTAATGTTGTTGTAGTAATCTCATAATAATTTAAATTGTACAACATTCTGATAGTCAATCAGCTGACAAACATTCATGTATAAAATCACATGCATATTCAGCAACTCTAAATGAGGTGGTTGGGACCTTATCATAGATGTAGTTCTTGCCCATAGGAGTAGGGAAAAAAAAAGTCAAGTCAAAGGCACTGATTTTCTACATACAAATCTTTGTGAGATATAGCACCTCAAAACTTTACCTTGTTAAATACACAACAGGTTTAACAGTGTGTGCAGTGTGACTCTGATCATGTCTCAAAAGTGGTTAGTGCAATGACATTTCTTGTATTTTATGAGCTTTTAGTCATCTCTAGTAAAGTGAAAAACAGTTGATTTTTTAGCATTGTTTTGGGAAATAGTTTCAGATTTTTCACTTTTAAATTTTACCCTACTTTTGAGAGACTTCCAGATAGGCTGACTTCAGGGTGCTATATTTCACAAAGGGTCATCAGTTCCTTTGACTTTTTTTACTCCTATGGGCATGGTCTATAGCTCTGATATTGTCCCAACCATCTTATACAGAGGTGCATCTCTGCCATCTGTTTAATAAAAGAAACAATCCAGATTAAGAAAAGAAAAAGAAACAATCCAGTAAGAAATTACGTTGAATGGACACGTTTGGACTCAATATGAAAATCTTATTTTTCGTAACTTTTCTCAAGCAGTATTTGAAGATAACAAAATCTACATGTCCTTTTGAAACTTATGGAATACTCTAAACAGTGAAAGCCATTGGAATGCATTTATCCTAACCTCTGATAGGATTCTTACTTTTATACAATGAACAATTAATTTTAATCATATTTATAACATTTAACGAAATTCAAATTCTCAATGTATAAACAATATTTTTCTTCTAGAATTTTCTAAATGTAACTACCAGTAATCAAAATTAATTTTTTAATTATTAATACATGGTGAATCTTACAGAACTTAACCAAAAACTCTCATTCTAAAACAGAGACTACAACAGAGCTTCTCTTTCAACCACTTTTAAATTCTTGTGTGCTTCATGTTGCTTCATTTTACACACAGAATTTTTCTACTGATATCTTTAAGTCTTTAAGCCAAATTTCAAAAATAACTAGCTAAAAATTTATTATTTAATTTGAATTTATCAAATATTTAGATTTATTTTTGATGCCACAACATTACTAAATAAATTATCAGTCATTCAGTAATTTCAAGCACACTTATTTATTCAAAATTCTGTTTAGTTTCAGCACATTATAATAAAATATTTTTCATTTTGTTTCTAGATAATTGTACTTGTCCAAAATCTGTCTCACATAAAACAATATTTTATACAATCATTTTGTAATATATTATCAATAATGCTGGTCAATGACTAAATTATATTGATAAAATATTAATTTTCAACTGTTTTTTGGTGTGTTAAATGTGAATTTGATATTTAAAACTGTTAGTTCAAGTTTTAATCTCTACGTTGAATGGACACGTTTGGACTCAATGTGAAAATCTTATTTTTCGTAACTTTTCTCAAGCACATTGATCATCATGAAATTTATGTTATTTAAATAGAAACATTCTGCTATCAAACAATGTTTCTTTCACAATTTTCCAAAAATTTCAAATTTTTTGCAATTTTTTTTAATCTCCAAACGTACACCATAAATCCATCGGGCTAGTTTTATGGCTAATTACTATATTAATTACATAACGAATTTGGTACTAGAGGTAAGCGTTAGGCGCCATCTCTTATTAATATTAATAATTATAGATAGTATTGTAAGCATGATTGTAGATAAATTTTTTTTAAGCTTTAAAAAATCATATTGCATATAAGAAGTCTAATATAGAAGAAAATTTGTTTTGGAATATACAGTATATTCAAAAATATCCAGAACTCAGAAGATAAAAGTTTTTTTGATATACTGTATTTATTAGTTATTGTACAAATTAATTTTATATCCAACTAATTTGACAAAAAATCTTCTATGAGACATTATGTCTTTATTATCAAATAAAAAAAAATTAGTGTCTCTTAAGTCTAGTCCTATATAATGTTTGTATAAAAATCTTTTCAGAGATGTGCCAGAAGTCAAGTACAAAAAAGTTGTAGTAAATTACATTTGCATTACATTTAAATTTATCTTGAAAACAGTAAATTATCATTAAATTTCCTATTTATTTCTGTATTCAACACTCTAAAATTGATAAAGAAATACATATCCATATATCCAATTGATAAAGATACATCTTAAGTGATAATTTGTTGCCTAGTGTAATTAAATGTTAGCCAAATTACTATCATGCTAAAATTTTCCTAATTAATTACATAGATGCTATGTAGTATCTGTATAATTAATAAACTAAAGTTATAGTCTAATACTAATCTGACTCTATTATTAGATTATTAATATAATTTGGGCTTGATTTTCTAAATATACTATACTATTTAAAAATTTAGAAACAAGAAAATAATCATCAACCAAAATATATCCAGCCTAAATTTTAAATTTATATTATCTTCTGTTTTTTATATAAACTTTATAAGCTATATAAGAGATCTTAATATAAAATAAAAAATATGTATAAATTATTTTTAAAAATATCAGCAATAAAATCTATCATTGCGAACAAGAAGTCTTATATTTTCCTTATTCTCAAGTGATAACACCACAATCCGTCACAGTTTATATATCATCATATCATCCGACTACATCGAAAAATACTAAAATATCAAGCAAATTTTGTGATGCATAATAATTAAAACTACACGATCAACAATTATCACGTTGCCAATCATAAAATCTAACAAAACTCGATCAAAACAAATCATTTTTTTTGCTCAAATTATAGTCCAAGTAGTATGCGAACTCACCATCATTCAATAACTAATACAACAGAAAAAGCCACATTAATCCGACAATGCCATTTTCAACCGATCAACTCGAAACGTCAACATACGTTAAACAAAAACAAAGCCAAAAAATAACATCATTACAGAATTGAAACACAAAACAATACTTATCGGTTAGCAGGGCGCCAGTCAATTGATGCGATCTAACTCGCACATATTGGGTCGATAACTGGTTCGGGAGAGGATTTCCCAAATAGGCGAGTAACTTCAAAAAAAATCAGTCGTTTGCAAATGGTTTGTCGGATTACTACGCTCGTGCCTCCCCGTGCGAGGGAGACGAGCAAAATTATATAACATCAGGTCACGTGGGCGGCAAGTACTACGTACGGTAACTAAACTTCCAATTAAGGGTCAAGCAACGTCCAAGGGTGTAAATCTACCAAGAATTGACTACACCGCATTACCGAAGAAGATCCGAACCCACTCCATCTCAAGCTCTAGCAAATTTCACTTCAACTACCGAACCAGAAAACGGGCTACTAATGCAGCGGGGATACATGGGCATACTTACCCATTTGGGAAATCCTCTCCGAACCAATTATCAATCTAATACACGCGAGTTAGATCGCATCAATCGACCGGTGTCCCGCTAACCGGAAAGTACCCACAAAACATCTTATTTTACACATTTAACAAAGTGCAATATTTTTAACCATAAAACAATCCACAAAACCAAATTATACTTTTAAAAAAATAAAATAAATTGCAATTACGAAGTACGATACCGGCCATCGAAATTTCAAAGATTCTGAAAAAGTTTAGACCGTTTAAACCGAAATAATTACTACAAACGAATACGTTTACTACGATAAATGTTTTATATTAACTACCACTACAACTCGACGTCGGCAATCGAGTTTATTAAGCAAGAAACCCGTCAAACATTCTCCACTTTATTCAATCCATTGCACTTTCACTTCTAACCAAAAGTAAATGTTAAAATGAACCAAGGTGTGTTCCAAAACATAAAAAGTTATACTGCCGTTAAAAACGTTGCATGCAACAGTATAATCAATTAACCTAACAATAACGATGCCAATTAGGAAAGAAGACAAATATGTTTCATACATCACACATGAGAAACACAATCTGAGGAGTGTCAGCTTATGATTTTAATATCTAAATTATGTAATGAACACAATATGGTGATTTAAATAACCGGAATTCATATATATTTTAAAGGTACCGTTGGCAACAACCGTAACACACGTTAATCTATTACTCTCGTAGACATTATAATTAAATTTATATAAAATGCACGAGAAAATATGATGTAAAACACGAGTAGTTGTCATACGAGTTGTCTTTCGATGGTATTATAAAATAAACATCCGGTACTTACCCCCAAACCAGATAATTCGTTTTTACTGTTTTCGGCCAAGAATATTCGCCAAATATGATTTGATTTAATCTCTCGACTATCTCCTTTTTATTAACATTGTATTGTCTCAATAAACTCAAAGGATCCGCCATTTTGGTTATCCTCTTCTGTCCGGATTCGAACTCCTGTCTAACGTTGCCAAACGAAAACTTTATCGCGGTCGCTCGTTTAACACGAAAATAATAACGCTAATCCTGTCAATTGTATAAATAAAATTATAATATGTCCTACTAAAATTAATTTTTTATTTATAATATTTGGTAAAATGCTACAAGATCCTATTGTTTTATAACAAATATGGAGGTTTATTCTTGAAAATTAGAGAAAACGGGTTAATTGAATAAAATAATCAATCGTTTATTAATTTTATTAGTCCGAATATTTGCTTTTAATCTCTATCTTTACACAAAATTAGAAAATGCGGGTTATCGTTTAGCGGATTTACAGATAGGATAGTTCAATGTTAATATCTCCAAGTATCTACTGTTAATTTAACCGAAGATTTAATTTTTTATCCAACTATTACACTTTTATTATTTTCAATTTAAAAATATTCATTTACATTTTGACGAATTTCTGGAGTTATGCTTATGAGACGCTCTTTGTCCATTTCAATATTACTTATTTACAGGGGCTTTTTTTTAAAAACTCTTTCAGCCCTGTGGCACTAAGAGGGCCTCTTTTTGCAAGCCCATGGGTTCGGCCAGGCCCACAATGGGGCTACCGGGCGGTGAGGAACGGGACCCGACATATCCGAACGGACCACCCGTGATTCGGAGAAAAAGCCAGTAGGCTAGAGTCTCCATATTAATAGGAAAGAAAGAAAGAAAAGAACGAACCACTCCCCCCCGATAAATTCCTGGGGATTTTTCGACCCGTTCGGATTCGATCCCGGGTTCCTCAGAGCGGTAGGCTGCCAGCTTGACCGCTCGGCCATCCGGCCGCCTATTTACAGGGGCTGAAAGATGAGATGTGACTTTCCAAAACGGATTATGCATAATTTCAGCAAGCTATCATATACATGCAATTTAATATGTATCGTAATTAAGACTCGTAAAATTCATTTTTCTTCGTCAGATTGAAATATTCGAAATTTAACGTAAATTGTCTTCACACTTTTCCGTCATTTTTATACAGCGAAAAATTTGTTTTTTCACTGAATATAACAATTTTACAGATATAATCCTACTTAAATGACCAGCTTTTGCGTGTCTCAAATGTTTCTTATGGCCATGGGCATCGGGACTCCCACTCTGATGTCTCTCATACTGAATCTTGTCCTCTAGTATAGTTTCTTACAGTTATTCTTACACTATATAAAATATTTCATCTAAGGCTGAAATTCTAAGGCCTTTTTTCTTAATTTTCAGTATACTTGATTATTGTTCGCTGGAAATTTACAAGGGTGTCCTAAATTAATCTTTCGCATAGTTATTCATATTTATTGAATCTTGTGCAAACTTTGGTTTTTGGGAATTACTCATTAGCTAATGTAACTTACAACCAGGACTATCCGAATTTAGACTGAAAAAGAAGACAGAAAATAAGAATTAAAATACAAAGTTGAAAGGCAGCTCTATACCTTTTACTTTACTGGAAAGGAGTAGAAGACCCAACCTCACAGCATAGCCTTTGAAAAGGAAGGTTGAAGAGTTTTAGAGAACGTGAGGAGGAGGAAGAAAAGAAAAGACTAATAGGAAAGTGTGAACCAAGAGACCTCAGAGCACCCAGTCGGTTCTATTAATTTAAATTAACAAAATGTGCATAGCATAGGTCATAGCGCATAAGCAAACAGTGAATATAAAGGAATTACAGAAATGTGTGAACGCCCAAGGGGCTGCCTCTGGTGAGGCAAGTGCGGGGATATACAAATAGCAGCAACTCGAATGGCCAGACACCCGATGGTGACAATGGGGCTGCCGAGTAACAAACAAACCAAAAACAAAATTCACAAGAAAATAATAAAAACAAAAGGAAATGATACAAAGACAAGTGATCGAGCACTCCTCAACCTAGGACCCACGAACAGCCCGCATTTAGGCCCAATGGGTTAACAAACGGTGGGTTAACAGCAGCCCGGAATGGCAAGCACTTCACTACCGGAAACAGCCGAAAACAAACCCATAAAAACAAATAAACGCGTATGTGCAAAAAAATGGGTGGGAGAACACATCCCAACCTTGGGCCCATAAAACGGCCTATACTTAGACCCGATGGGTAAACAAACAGTGAGCCCCAAATGAAAACAACGCGAAAGGCCACCCCTGGGCCTGGGGGCTGCCCAAATACAAAGAAAACCCGAAAAAAAAAAACATATAACTACAGATAGAAAACTCCTTTAATTAATTAATCTAAAATTGCGCAACTTTAATAAATATCGAACACATCGCAATCGATATAGGTCCAAAGCGGAATTGTAATTACTTCAACAGTTAAAGTCATACATGGAATTTTCACGATTGTATATAAATTTTTATATTCAATAAAAGTTATTAAATTTCATATTAATCGTTTAAAGTTCAACGTAGAAATGGTTTCCTCCCGTAGAGCATTATTCTGCGGTAAAATGTTTTACTAGTAGAACACCGGTCGAAATATTATAAGTTGTTTTGGCCAGTTACAGTCCTTTAAACAACGGTAGACACGAAGTCACTGTCCTCGTTCTATGCACTTTAACCGAAGTGGAAGAACGAATCTCGAATGTTGTCGTAAATTGGGACGAAAAATCAAGTTCAGTCGATTAAGTCGTAGCTGGGTGAAAGTTCACTTCCGGATGGCCGCATCACATCCGTACAAGAAGGTTCATGAATACTATGATACGATATTCTATGATATTCTACGATACTATGATATGCTACGATACTATGATATTCTAAATCTAATTTGATGTCCTGTGGTGGTGTAATAAGTCTAGAAGTAAAGTAAAGCCAATCTTAGCGCTCACTAATCATTAAGAAGGTTCATGTTTTCCAGCAGCAAAACAACCTTTTCCACCGAGGCCTTTTACGTTCGACGGATTCTTCCACCATTTCTCGGGACTCCATTTTGTCCAATTCCGTCTCACGCGACCGTGTCTCCACCGCCCATTTCGGAACTTCGGGGCATCGCGGCTCCAGATAATGGACGAGAGACCGGGCGCTGTCGTCCGGAGTTACGACGGGCGTACGCGACTCTTCCTCCGCATTTTTCGGAAGCACCCGTATTACACGAGGCGAAGACCGGGCGCCATCCTGGAAGTTCGATTCTTTGAAATTATCCATTCTGCCAAGAAAAATGAGCGAATGTTATAGAACTCGCATTAAGATTGTCTTCATTTCATCTAAATCGAAGGAAGAAACATATCGATTTTTTATGTTAAAATGCAACAAAGATTTATGACAGAAGAAGATCGTAGGAAATCATCGTTTTAATTATAATAAAAATTTCAGTCAGAAAGCGATATTATGATCAAATCTTTAATTATTATTAAATTAATTAATTAACTGTTAATGTTGGAATATAATTTTAAAAATCGGTTTATACAAATTATACAATTTTGTCGATTGCCGCGACATAAAATATTTGTGAAGATAGAGAAATTCTCATTATATAGCAATGCGAGTTTCATACGAGATATAATGTGTATATAAATCATAGCGGCGAATAACAATTTAGCGTATTTATTAACTCCCAGTTTGTTTTAATTAACAATTCGGCTGGATTTGGGCTAAACGAAAATTAACAATAAAAAGGGTAAAAAGCTGTGACAAAACCCGTCAATTGTTATCTAAATGGAGCTTTGGAAAATCATTGCCGCTAGTCGCGATATTCGACTTAACAACGTTCAAAAATACNTAAAAAATGCACATGTGTGTCCCTATATTTCACTTTTCAGCCAAAACTACACATTGCACATGAATGGTGTTTGTATGTGGTAGTAGCCCCGAGTCTCCATTCGTGCACTATGGTGGTTGCGTCTCGATAGCTATAAGGGTGTGGGAGATATGGGGTTTAAAGTGGTTGACTTCAAAGAGTTTCTATTTCAATTTTATTTTAAAAATGTTCAAACCGTTTTAAATTTGAATTTGTTTGATTATAGAACGATTGTAAACGTTCCATAAAATTGATCAAATTGAAAATAGTTCGTTTGACTGGACGTGAACAGGAGACATTCTGTCTGGAAATGGGGGACCTAATTCTTGCATTCTGTGAAAACGGGTAAGATTGGCTATAATGTAATTATCTTAATCTTCACTATTGTTACTTTTTGCCCAGCGAAGCGTGTCCTTGCAGCTAGATTACAACTTAGAAAAACAGTCTTTTATATATAAAAAAAACTATATTACATACAAATGTACGAACAAATAAAAACCCAGCGAAGCGGGTCCTTGCAGCTAGTAATTATATAAAAACAAGCAAAAACCAAAAGTAATTTGGATCTTAAATTGCATTAAGCTTGCTTAAATTAAAAATAAGTCTTAAAAGTTTGTAATGTTGTTGTAGTAATCTCATAATAATTTAAATTGTACAACATTCTGATAGTCAATCAGCTGACAAACATTCATGTATAAAATCACATGCATATTCAGCAACTCTAAATGAGGTGGTTGGGACCTTATCATAGATGTAGTTCTTGCCCATAGGAGTAGGGAAAAAAAAAGTCAAGTCAAAGGCACTGATTTTCTACATACAAATCTTTGTGAGATATAGCACCTCAAAACTTTACCTTGTTAAATACACAACAGGTTTAACAGTGTGTGCAGTGTGACTCTGATCATGTCTCAAAAGTGGTTAGTGCAATGACATTTCTTGTATTTTATGAGCTTTTAGTCATCTCTAGTAAAGTGAAAAACAGTTGATTTTTTAGCATTGTTTTGGGAAATAGTTTCAGATTTTTCACTTTTAAATTTTACCCTACTTTTGAGAGACTTCCAGATAGGCTGACTTCAGGGTGCTATATTTCACAAAGGGTCATCAGTTCCTTTGACTTTTTTTACTCCTATGGGCATGGTCTATAGCTCTGATATTGTCCCAACCATCTTATACAGAGGTGCATCTCTGCCATCTGTTTAATAAAAGAAACAATCCAGATTAAGAAAAGAAAAAGAAACAATCCAGTAAGAAATTACGTTGAATGGACACGTTTGGACTCAATATGAAAATCT